GACAACTAAGGCTGGCACAGCTCCTCCTGCCTGTGGAGGTGTACCCTGAGTCACGGTCTCCGTAGTTAGGTTAAGACTGATCTTGCCGCATGTTCCTAAAGGAGCCCAGTCTTTTTATCTTCCCCTGTGAAACATCCCTCTGGTCCCATATATTAATGGAAAGGTGTCACCGTCACAGAATGGACCCATAATCTTATGAAAGAGAATAAGAAGAGTTTTGATATTTAACCAGGAGAGCTGATATTAGAGGCAGCTTCAGAAGAGGGATGCCATTATGGAATGTGGCAATGGGGAAGTGAGGCATCGGCATTGAGGATTATGTTCTTACAAACGCAGTGTTTATTAAAGTGCTTGTTGAATATTTCTGTATTCCCCCTTGAGAAAAACAACAACCATCTATTGTTCGAAATTTGGTATCAGCTTGGTAAAGAGCCATTGGTCTGCTTCAGAGTTTGTGCTTGGACCCTAAACAGACGGTGCTTGAGAAACTTGAAGCTGAGTTGCTGGAAGCCAACCAGAACCAGCAAACACTGAAGCAGAACTTCCTCGAGCTGACAGAGCTGAAACATCTGCTGAAGAAAACCCAGGACTTCTTTGAGGTGAGAGGTCTCTTTGCTACTCCAACAGGTTCATAAAAACACTGACATTTTCATTTAATGAGTGTTACTATTACTGATCTTTAATCAAAATTCAGCAGTCTTTAACCACAAGCCACTAAGATATGTTTGTAAAAGCACTTCAGCCACTTTGGAGCCTGCATCACTCAAGAACTTGGTTCTCAGATCTCTTTGAAAATGGCATTTGTGCTTTTCAGATATAGTTTACCTTTTTTTCCTTGTTTTTTTTTTTCTTTTGGTCTAAATCTCTGTGAAAAGCTGCCTTGGGGGGAAAAAAGGTCAGGAGAGAAACAGAAAAATATGAAAAAAGTTTTCAAACTGGCAATGCTGAATAGGTTTTTTTGAATTAATGTTTTCCAGGCAGAAACAAATCTGCCAGATGATTTCTTCAGTGAAGACACATCTGGGCTGCTGGAGCTGAGAACCACTTCTGCTGCTGCAGCTGCCAAGCTGGGGTGCGTATTGGCGATGGTCCCCAACTTGGCCAGGCTTCCCCCAGCACTGCCGGGCTGTGACACCGGTACACCTCCTTCAGCTTCTTAGTAGAGGTTGCTCCCCAACAGCGTAGCTGTTTATTGAGCATGAAGGGGTGACTGAAGTTATCATCAAAACTATGGTCAGGTTAGGGGTCAGTGGGACAAATGGACTTTTCCTTCCAGGCCAGCAATTCCAGCAGGTATTGACTGAAAATTGTTATCTTGTGGCATCTCACCTGTGGCTTCTGGCAGACATCTGGCTACCAGCCTGGCCCTCGGGGATGCATGTCTAACCGCAGCAAAAAGCCATGGGATTGCTTGTGCTGGACTTTGTCCACAACAGAAAGTGGCACTGACAGTGAGAGTTAGGGGAGCAGAAACACCGCTGTGTATTGCTGACAGCAATCTGGTGGACAGCATAGACTCAAACAGCTTTCCCTTGTGTCTACACCGGCTACGTGTGGTGAAACTTGCTTGTGGTGTCCTTCCAAGTTGTTGATTTTAGCTGCTCATGTTGATATTTCTGAAGTCCTGTTCAACTCTTTTATGGGCAAAGCATATGCCTGCAGACGGCTTACCTTGGTGGGTGGACACCAGCATGTCACGCTGCACTTTAGAGGTGCAATCTGGTGCTTTCTGGGAAAAGGACACCAGGAGAGAGTCAAGATAAACCACTTCTCGAAACCTGCTAACTCCTACCTCAGTCATTCAGGTACTCTCTGTTTGTGTGACTTTAAGCATCCCTCCACTCCTCCATTTCTAGCCAGAATTGTCTCTTCCCCTTTTTTTGTTTTTCTGGGGAGAGCTTACAATGTTTTAAATAAAGAACAACAGGATAAAGTCAGTAGATTGACATAAGAGCCAGGCTTGAACAAGGAGGTCTTTCCTAGAAGTGTCTACAGGAGCAGCAGAGCCCTGGCTATCAGAGCAGAAAACAAGAGAATGTAACATCACATGTGTTACAGGTCCTAAAAGACTTAGAGTGGGCTCATAATTTGTTTATCTTTTAACTCTGCTCAGATTCACAGCAGGGGTAATAAAGAGGGAAAGGATGATACCCTTTGAGCGTCTACTGTGGCGAGTCTGCAGGGGAAACATCTACCTGAGGTACACCGAAATGGACACCCCCTTGGAGGACCCTGTGACAGTAGGTACCAACCTGGTTTAGCTTCAGGCTGCGCCTTGTGCATTCCTGTGAACTGCAGAAACTGAACAAGTAGAACATCGCTGCTGGAAAACTGAGGCTGGGGGAAAAGAACAGGCAAATGCAGAGGCTGCCAAAAGAATCCCCACCACCTTTTCCACCCTGGACTCTTTGCTCTGGGTTTGTTAAATTCTACTTTAATTGTGTTGCAGAGAGAAGAGGTGAAGAAGAACGTGTTCATTATCTTCTACCAAGGAGAGCAGCTTAAACAAAAAATCAAGAAGATTTGTGATGGGTAAGGCAGGCCCGTAGGCAAACCACAGTGATGCCCATGGAGGGGTTTACCTGTCAGCCCAGGCCAGCTGAATGTGGAGCTGGAGATCAGATCTCCAGCTTTCCAGCTGTCAGCTCTGCCACTGAGCTCCTTTCCACTCCTCAGCTCCTAATCATGAAAGATATCCATCACCTTGGCACTTGGAAATTGAGGTCCTAAATTTTCCAGAGTGACTTGGGTGCTTCACTTGCTGGGTTTATAACTTAGGACATCTTAAAGGGGACTGTTTTTTTGAGAAATAATCAGCGTCCTTCCCCTGCAAATCAGGGACCCCAACTTGGGCACTGGGAACGTGGCAGTCCCTGACCTGCTCTCAAGCCTTCCTGAATTCCATCATAAAAAGATGATGCTGTAGTTTATTCAAAGTATTTGAGCAATATCTGTGTAATCAGAGACAGAGCCCAGGAGATAAATGAAAAGCTTCATACAACCTGACTCGTTTCCACTCTGTTAAGCATCTTGAAAAGATAATTCAGGTGGAATATTTTGTTACTCTTTCATAACGCTGATGACCGATGGGTTTTGTTGCAGTGTAAATCAGATTTGACGAGGGGATCTGTCTGCTGTCAACGAATCCATGTCAGGTATAGCCCCTCGGCCAAGTGGGGCCAGCCGAGGGCCTGCAGAGGGCAGAAGGTTGCAGGGAGGGGGGTGAGCGATTGCTCTTACCTGACATGTGCACTCAGGGTCTTTCCTTATCTCCTGCCTTTAATCAGAATAAAAGCAGCAAGATCAGTTCATCCAGCTGGGAAGGCTGACTCCAGTCCCATAGAGTGACAGACCCCTGGGGACTATTTAGCAATTCCTGCATTAGAAACGAAGCCCTCCAAGGTACCTTCTATAGGCAGTGGAGGGCAATGCTCATCCTGAGAGCAATTCAGTGCTCCTGAGGTGGGCATCTCTCTCTGTGAAGCAGCCTCGGGAGCATGGGCAGCTGGAGGGAAACTCCAACTCTCAGTCACGGATTTCTGATCATGAGCCTCAGATATTGAGGGAATTTTGCCATTGCCACTGGGCAGGATCAGTCTGCTGCTACCAATGGTCTTTGAGCTTTCAACAAGTCTCATTCTCTTTCTTGATTACAACTTCCTGCCTATGTCCCATTTCTTGGCCTCCTTTTTAGATGCTGTTCAATACCCTTCTCCCCTTCTGCACTCATGGGCAGTTGCTGGTGGTGCACCCTTCTCATTTCATTTACCCCTGTGCTGATTGCCTTGCAAGCTGCCAGGACGGATATTTAGAGCCAGCCAGGGTTGCCCGCAAAGTACAGCAAGTGCTTCATTTTGGAGGAGGTTTGTGCTTGGTTTTGTTTGCAGTCAAAAGTCCAACACTTTTCTTCTGGGCTGGGAGTAATTGAACAGCTAATGCAATGACCATCAGCATTTTCGTTATTGATTGAGCACAGAATTATTGAAACCAGAGGCATGACCTTCTGCAGTGGGGTGTAGCTTCAGAACGTGGGGCCAGGCAGCACTGGAAGTGTGAGGAGATCCTGGCAGGGTGGGTCATGATGCACAAAGCTGTTACGAGCTACTGGTATGGATGTGGTGGTAGGTTCATTGCAAGGAACTTAAAACTGGTTTCTCTCAGCCTCTCTTAACTGCAGGAAAATGCACTTACCTAAGACAAACTCACAGGATGTCCTTTGCAGTGATAGTGCACTAGTTTTTTTGTTTATTGCCAGCTAATCAGGCTACACTTGAAATCATCCTTTATGTCTTTCCTTCATCCCTTTCAATTTTTTTGCTTTCTAATATGCAATTTTAGGGTATTTTTCTGAGCAGTAGTTTTTCAAATGTAATAATTCCATGGCTCTCCTTTTGTTCTCTGTGGACCATCAGCTGTGCCTGATACACAGGCCAAGACATTTTAGTTTGGTCCATCTTTAAGGCAGAGTTAACTATACCTAAAGCAGATGGTGGTGTCCCTTCAGCACCAGCAGGACATTTCTGCCTAGCTCTAAGTCATCATTCATGACAAGTAAATATCCTGAAAAAATCATGGTGCTGGTATGAGCCAGGCTTCTGCAAGGCAGGCTGAGATTTGTTTGCAGAGCAATGTGCCTCAGGTTACGCTTGTAGTCCCTGCTTGACTCTAATTGGTAACATTAGTCTGCCAATTCCATGAGCATTAAGTCCACGCACAAATTTATTAGTGAAAGGTGTAGAGGGAGCAGGGAGGAGGAAAATGTAAGAATTTTTCTTTTCCTTCTTTTCTTGCGGCTGCCTCAGTGCTAATGTTAATACTAAACTGGGTTTATCAATGTAAGGATTCCCTGCTGAATTCTCCCGGAGCTTTCAGAGATGTCTGTGCCATTAGGGCAAAGCTGATACTCAGTATGCAAAATGGCTGTTAAAAGATCAAAGCAACACTGCTGCAATAACATTACTGGAAACCGGGGAACTGTACAGCATGGAGGAATAAGCTTTCAAGTTTGATTAAAAATCCTTATTAAAGATGAACTAAGAGCTGTGAAGAATAAGAAGATGGAAATAATTAGGTAGGGTGAATAACTTCTGGAAACGAGTATCAGGTATTGAGTGAGGAGCGATTCAATTCTAAAAAAGGGAAGTTTAGCTGAAGAGCGCGTGCTGTCATTACACACAGCTGTGGGCTGATCTCTAGGAAACTGCAGTGGGTTTTGCTCAATTTGCAACTGTCCTCACTTGTGTGCATGCTGGAACTGCCTTTGGAGAGCAGGTGGTGATATATTCTGTGCTCAGACAAAGCCAGAACATGATGCTTATCTGTACACAGAGCATGCACCTTTTTGTCTCTTAAACAGGGATAGACTCCTATGACCCTCTTATGTCTTCTTTTAATTCATCTCACGTGCAGAAAGGCAGCCGTTCAGCAGCTCTAACTCAGCACAGCTCAGCTGCTGTCTTGTCCTGGGTGGGCAGAAGACCTCTGCTCTATAAACAGGAGCAATCTCTTCCTGCAGACCTGTTGGGGCAATATTGAAGGATGACATTTATAATACCCTTGAAGTGGCAGGGCTGGCACAAGCACTAGATATCCCTGCACAAAATGAGTAGGAAAAAATTAAGGGATCTCTGCTGTTTTAGTTACTGCAGCACCTCAGCTCGGTTAAGGCTTGTAGGCACAGAGCCTTGCAGCAGCAAGGGATCTGCTCACCTTGTGATCTGCAAGGTGCTGATGGGAACCTGCTCTTCATGGATGAAGTATACTCTGGGACTTGTTCTGCAGAGGGGGCAAGTATCTGTGTGCTTTTCAGAGAGACATGTAACTCATTTATTTCTAATTGCCTGTACTGGGTTCATACAGCAGCTCTGCAACACCAGAATGTGCAGTACTAGTGTAAGCACCTTGACACTAATATGACACACAGCTGCACTAGAAAAGGTCATATTGAATACTACAGACAAGAAGTACGCAACACCTGCATGGAGAAAAGACCTTCATTCACATTATTAGAAGCCCACTTTAGTCCTTCCTATACCTCACTAGGCAAACCAGCTGAATCTCCCAAATACAGTCTTGGGGATGAGCTTATAAAAACATTTGTACCAGCCTGGCCACGTCGAAGCTGACATAACAGATACCACTCTCAGGTGCTTAAAAAACATCACCCATCCTTCCCTTGCTCCCAAGCTGTCTCACCAAACAGATGGACCAGAAGCCAAGAGCTGGCTGTACGTGGTCGTCCTCCTTTTGGTTTATCCTGGAAATATGGTCGGTTTACTTATTGATTTTTTAAAAAATTGATTACTTTATTTATTTATTTATTTGTTTGTTTATTTATTAGGATTATTTACTTACACAGCCTGCACGAAGGAAGGGTATTCGCTTGCAGTGCAGCAACAGCTCAGCTGGTGCCTTCCTCCCGTGACTGCGAGCGCAGAGAGAAGGGACAGGGAGTTGTTTCAGCCTCAGTACAAGAGGGACATCTATTGGCTACCGTGTTAACGGGGCTGCCTTTGCTAGGGTTTTTTTGTTGGTTTTTTTTTTTGGCTGAGTTTATTTTGTGTCTCTTTGAAGTTCAAGTAGCTTTTAGGCATAAGGGATGTGCCTACATATTAGTGCCGAGCACTGTATAATGAGATGTACCTTGTAGCACCTGAGACGGAAAGTAGATTTTTTTTTCAGCTACAACAGGTGAAGGGATCCTTTTTCTAATGGAGAGATAAATGTACCTTTTTGGACCTTTCTGGGACACCAGGCACACCTTTGTAGTGTATAAGAAGAGTATACTATTGGATGAGGAGTAAAGTCTGGTTTTCCCACCTATGAGCTGAGCTCAGAGGTAGAAAAAGCCAGTCAAATAACTGGTGTTTCTTGCTTCTGTCTTACTGAGGCTAGATTTCGTGCCACAGTCTATCCCTGTCCAGAGTCTGCCACAGAGCGCCGAGAAATGCTTGATGGAGTCAACACAAGGATTGAGGATTTAAACACAGTAAGTAGCAGCAACTTTTCTGGGCTCTGAAACCTGCAGGTGGGACCTCCGCAGAGATTTGACTTGGCTTCCCCCAACAGCACGCAGAGTTGTTCAGTCACAACTGTAGTACAGCTATATGAGGCTCAGAGAGGACTTGTTTGAATTAGGTTTTCTTTAACTAGGAGATCTTGGGGCGCTTGTCACACTAGCAATGGAAAGCCAAGACTGCTGTTATAGAAGAACAAATATCCATAACCTATTTACTCCAGCATTTAACACAGTGCTGACAATTACAAGTTCAATTGCTATGGGTGCTCAGTAGTTTGTACATCCATATACTGTATTGGGACCACACACCTTTTGGAGGTAGTCCTGCCCGTGGCCTTTCTATTGTCACACATGACAGGCACTGGGTCCTGAGGCAGGAGGGAACGGGCACCCTATTTTCTGAGGTGACCCATGTGGCAGTTGGCATCATGCTGTCACCCCCTCTGGGGATGTTTGTGGCTGGCAAGCCTGCACACAAGGCTGCTTCCAAACTGACTTTCACTCCTGAGCATCAAGGTCAGCTAGGCTTTTTCAGCACTTGTAAACTACACAGGTTATCTTTGTTAACATGTTATCTCCACCACCTATTTATGCAGCAACACTGTGGTGGCCACATGATGCATGGAGGTCCCACCAGGGCCGTGAGCTGTAGCTCTAGCAGTGCAGGCACACTTGTGGATGTGATATTCCCCAAGTTCATGGCACAGCTGCCTACAGTAGATGGCAGGATTGAAGCACATGGTGAGATGTGACCAGTCTGCAAGCAACTGGGTAAGGAGCCAACCCTGCAGCTCAGTAACTCCTCGTGGTCTCTTTTACACTTACAGTGGCTTGGGAACAAGCAGGGGGAGTGCTTAGCAAACACCATTGTGCCAAGTGCTCCTGTGTCCTAATCTGCACATGCTGCCCTCCAGGACACCTCACACATTCGTAAAAATCACTCCCTTTCCATAGCATTCTGCCACCTGCTCTCCCCAAATAACCACTGAGTAGATTGTGCCACCTGTGCCTTCCCAACTCCAGCGCTGCCTATTCTGTGCTTACAGGTGATAACACAAACTGAGTCCCACCGCCAGCAACTGCTGCGTGAGGCAGCAGCCAGCCTGTGGTCCTGGGGCATCAAGGTGAAGAAAATCAAGGCCATCTACCACATCCTGAATTGCTGTAACATCGATGTCACCCAGCAGTGTGTCATTGCAGAGATCTGGTTCCCAGTGGCTGATGCTGGCCGGATAAAAAGAGCTCTCCACCAGGGAATGGTAAGAGACCAAAATTTTGGGTCCCTGAGGCTCTCACCCAAACTGCATTGTTTATATGTTGAGCATACATTCAGACTTCTGTCCATTACCATAATGCTGCCTTTTCTGTTTTAATTAAAGTTGATGTTGTCGCATGATTGCTTGGCCTCAGGGAGTTTAAGGTCAGCATTAAATCTTAGCAGGTTTGGAATCGACCCATGAGTCAGCAAGGCTGGCACCTTTCCCTGAACAAATCAATAGCACAGAAAATGGAAAAATCTGGATATTAGAAAAAAAGCTTGAGATATAACACTCTTGAGCCCAGCCTTCATGTTGCTGCCTGTGCATGTTTAGGCACAGGCCATGTTGCTGCGGGACTGATTCTTCTCTGCTAGCCTGACTGTGCCTGTCCTTGTCACGGGGTTTGCAGGAACGCAGTGGCTCTACAATTGCCCCTATCCTTACCGCCATACACACCAAGATGGCACCACCCACCTTCAACAGGACCAACAAGTTCACAGCTGGATTTCAGAACATCGTGGATGCATACGGTGTGGGCAACTACAGGGAGATGAACCCAGGTGAGAAACACTGAGCTACTCTCACCTGGCTTGATGGAGCTGACTTAAAGCCTTCAAGCTTTGCATTAAAATGTCACTAAAACACATACTTGCTGATTGAGAAATCCGAATTGTATTTTCTGCTGGTGAAAATTGATAGTTTGGTGCATAGGAGTGGATTTTCTCAGGCAAATACTTCGGCCATTGGTCTTCAGTGATTGATGGTCCAGGCAAAAATGCAGGATGGGGAACAAATGGTGAGGTAGCAGCTCTGGGGGAAAGACATAAGCTCACAAGGCAAATATAAGTTGAACTTGTTCTGAGGCAAAAAAAAGTCCAAAAGGACCTGAGAAAAGTGTGAAACGGTGGTAGAGAATCTCAAAGAAACCATTGGGAATGAACAAAAACCTAGAAACTGGGACCCATAGGAAGGGATGAGGTGAATTCAGATTGTTGAGGCTGAGAAGACTGAACAATGAAAGTAAGGTTCAAGTACATTATTCTATTGCAAAACAGAATACAGTTGTCTACATATGGTGTCTATTATGGTGAGACAAGAAATGAAAGCTACAATTGCAAGGAAGATGCAGGATATACAATTGGACAACATTTCTGATGATAAAGCTAGTTCTGCACTAGATCTAACGGCCTGGTCAGTAGGGAAGGGGTTGTGGAGACCTTGAAGGACAGCAGCTGTGAGGAATGGGCTGGTAGGGTGGACTACTTCTGTGCTAAGGCCTTTTCATTTAGGAGGAGCTGAGCTTCTTGTCCTTTCCTTCCTTCAGCTCCATATACTATCATTACCTTCCCCTTCTTGTTTGCGGTGATGTTTGGGGATTGTGGCCATGGTGCTGTCATGCTGGGGTTTGCACTCTGGATGGTCATTAATGAGAAGAGCCTTCTGGCCCAGAAAAGCACTAATGAGGTGAGTACCAGGGACACGGTCCACCCTATCAGCGTAGGACAAGGCTTATCATCCCTGTTTGATAAAGGGGCCATCCAGCCTCCCAGTCTGGGTGGATATCTTTCAGAGATGTTTGTGAGGCAGAAATTTGGCAAGTAATTCTGCCTACTTCTGTATGGAGACCTGGATGGGGCCAAGGGACCTGGAGTTTCGATAACTGTACATACCTAGATCAGTACAATCATGTCTTCTGTTGGCTGAGGCCCACTGGTTGATGGGACTGCAGGTTCTTTAGTCACTGGCACTGCCTTTTCCCCCTGCAGATCTGGAATACATTTTTCAGTGGGCGCTACCTGATTCTGCTCATGGGTATATTCTCCATGTACACTGGCTTCATCTACAATGACTGCTTCTCCAAATCGTTCAACATCTTTGGCTCTTCCTGGCACATCATCCCTATGTTTAAAAATAACACTTGGAAGTAAGTAGCTAAATGTGGGAAACGAGAGAAAACACACCAAATGTATCACATAGGCTTTGAGAGAAAGGCACAGTGACTGCCTGTGTGGGGAAGGGAAGAACTCCCTGCTGTGGATGCAGTCGTGAATGAATCAGTGGTTTTGTCTGACATGCAGACAAACTCACTATTGAAATGGAAATGTAGAGGCTCCGGGAACATGCCTGTTTGTTCAGGCACCGATGTGCATAAAAATCTGCAGGTGTCCGCGACTGATGCATGAAGAATTATCAGTATGATGGAGAGGGTCATTGTGTAGGACCCATTTACAGACACACACACACAGAAGCCCAGGATAACAGCTCACAGAGAGACTGACACGTATCATGTGATAAATCTGCTGTAGGGTTACATGGTGAGATTAAGATGCAAAGGCCATTTCACTTTTCTTCTGTAGTAAGGATGTGCTTCTGGGTAATACGGTGCTGCAGCTGGATCCGGCAGTCCCAGGAGTCTACTCTGGAAATCCATACCCATTTGGAATAGATCCGGTAATTAAATTAAATTGCTCCAAGATAATTTGTATTTCAATTCTGTTTCTACATATCAGGTACATCAGTAACTCCCTGCTCTCTTTGCTGAAGCTGTGCTCTTCACTTCTTGCTCTTTGCCTGTTCTTTACACAGTTGTTGTGATGCTTTTCTTCAGCAGTCAAGGATATATATTGCTGGCAGTTTTGCACAGCAACAGCAAACTGGTAAGCAGGAAGGAACTGAAGAGTAGCCTTGTACTGCAGCCTCTGTTCTGTCACCAGTCTGCTGGACTCAGATTCCTTACTGGAGTCCTTAAACTATTCCAGAGCTACCTCACAAGTTTGAGGACAAAGTTCTGATTTCTGTGAGATGTCTTTATTGTGTGAAGTAAATTCCAGTATTAGTTAACAGATCCACATTTTCTTCTTTTTCTTTCCCTTTTCTTGCTATTCTCTCTTTATCATGTATTGAAATGCAGTTGTTAACATCACGCTTCCCTGTTTCAGTCATCATACCAGCCAATTAACCTCTGTCCTGCTGGATGCACTCTCGTGTCAGTTGGTAACAAAAAAAATACTGGCTTCCCCTGGTTTGTAGAGAGATTGACCTTGTAGTAAGTTTCTCACAAACCCAGCTCTAAAGCTCTGCCCAGGACATAGACAGCGCAGTTTAAAAAGCTATGACAGATGAATTTTCTGTACGTTACCTAGACACATCCCTAATTTAGGCTGACCCAGGCTAACCCTCTTCTACCATGGCTGCTGCCTGCTCGAGAGGCTGAGACCCCTGACAGGCAGAGAGGAATGGGGAAGAGTGGGCTGGAAAGCACCATGTCATCCACGCAGAAGGATGGATGGCTCTTTGCATTTTGCAAGTCCTGGCAGGATGGATGGGGTGTGTCTCGGAAAAGAAAGAGTCACCTCAAGATGAGGAGGCTAGGCAGTCTTGGCCACAGAAGGGGCAAAGCGTGTTGGACAAAGACATGTAAGCTCATGTTTTGCCTTCCAAATAACCCTCTCTCCCTTCTTTCTGTTCAAGTACTACACTTAGTGTCTGAAAAGAGGTATCTACTTACCGTCTCTGAGGTCAGAAGACTTTGGAGTCTAGGAAGTTTTAGAAGAAAGGAGAAGCAACCCAGAAAGCTCTGCAGCATGAAAAAAGGCATATGGTTACTGTCACAAAAAAAAGTTAATGCAGAGATCCAGGTGATATTCTGATCTCCATGGCCAAAGAGTTGGAATGAGCATTTTTTCTTCAAAGAAAAAGTTTCAACATGCTCTGCATTCAGTATTTCTCTGATGAACATAGAAAAAATGTCTATAGCAGCAGGAGGGATTTTCTCGTGCCTTTCCACTTTTGTTAAAGATGACTCAGCCTAAGGGCAAGGAATGTCACTGAAAAGATCTGGGTTCTGCTACCAGGCTTTGCATTGTTTTCTGGAGGACTGAAGCATAGCCCCTACATCATTTTAAATCACTCTTATTTTCTCTGTTACATGAGGATAATACTTTACACTTTTTAGATGAGAAGCTTGGCAGAGTGAAAAGTATTATGAGGAATATCTAGATATCCATTGCTTACTATTTTCTTACTAGAACTGATAGGACTAAAGTGATGGTGCCAAAGCTACAACTTCCACAAATCTGTTATTGAGCAAACACATTAAAATCTTATTCTTCTATCTGTGTCTACTCTTATCCCCAAAGATCTGGAATATTGCATCGAACAAGCTGACTTTCCTGAACTCCTACAAAATGAAGATGTCAGTTGTTGTAGGGATTGTGCACATGATTTTTGGAGTAATACTCAGTCTCTTCAACCACATGTAAGTTTGATTCATCAAGTCCATTGCTGCAGGCAACAAATCCTCGTTGCTAAACTAGTGTCCTTCATTCAAAGAAAGCTTCATATCTCAGACCAATGCCTTGAAGGACTTTGTCCTTCCTCCAATGCGAGTAGAAATGCCCTGTACAGTGCCTGACTCATGCCACTGTTGGTATAGAGTGAAGGATAACCATCACATTGCAGATATTCTCTTGGATAAACTCTCTTTTTTGCTTTCTCTCTTATGTTCTTCATTCTGCAGAAATACTGTAAATTAAAAATATATAGCATCTCCCACTATTGATAATTTTTGTCTGGAAAGACAACTCTTCTGGCCTAATCCAGAGCACACTGAAATCTTGCACAGTATGTGTGCATGTATTTCGCCTGACTTAGAGGGTCCTTGGTCATTATCTGTGGGTGTGCATATCTATATGTCTGCCTCCATATTTTGCAACAAAAGATAAGAAATGATGTTAGAGTTGAGAGGCTGACACTACTGTCTTGAGATACTCTCCAAAGCTAGAAAGTTTATAGTGGCCTTCAAGGACAGACACTGTTTGCAGATGACAGAGAGGTGGACTGCCCCTGCAGAATTGATTCTGCACCTGGTTCCTCAGCATATAATGCTTAGCTTTGTAAATTAGCCTTTTTTTGAAAATCAGCTTTTATTCCAATGTAGTAATTTTTTGATGTGCTGAGATACTGGGGAGCCAAGTACAAAAACCTGAAGAGAATTAGAATGACAAAGGTTTTGTATGTAAAGAGTGCCTTTCATTGATAAAGACTGCAATTGTAGACTTCTTTCTTGGCTGGTGATAGCTGTATGTTTCCTACCTTTTTTCCCAAAGACTAAGTAGTGTACAGTACTACCATACTTGGGTGCAACCTTGTATTAATACCTAGTGTATTAATTGCAGTTATCTTTCCTGATTCTTTTCAGCTACTTCAAGAAATACATGAACATTATCCTTCAGTTCATTCCAGAGATGATTTTTATTATTTCTCTTTTTGGCTACCTGGTCTTCATGATTATTTTCAAATGGTGTCATTTTGATGTCCACTCATCCCAGAGTGCACCGAGCATCCTCATCCATTTCATCAATATGTTTCTGTTCAACTACAGTGACTCTTCAAATGCTCCACTGTATCTGCATCAGGTATGGATCAAGTAGCTCAAGTCCACTGTAGCTGGTTTTGGATTTGCAGTGGTTGTGGACATAAAGATGGGGAACAGGCTCAGAAGCTCAATGGCAAGTGCCAGTCGCACAAGAGGAGTTTGCTCTGGTGATATTTTTGTTGGCCTTGTGGACAGGTAGGACGAAGAAGCTGTCAGTCAGTGATGCAGAGGAAACCTCTTTCTTAGTGTCATTCATACAAGAATTATGCTGCAATTTAAGATACTTTTGGAGAATAAAAGGAAAGAAGCATTATTAGAGATGTAAAGTTGGGCATTGCAGATGTGCTGTCTTGAAGTCATGGCATGATGCTAGAGACAAAGCAAGCCTCTCATTTCCTCGATAATTTCTTATTTGTTCTTTGGAAAACTTGAAAACATTATATTTTCATCTAAAAATAGAAGTAGCCAGAAGATTTTCTGGCAGGTTTGTTGTTTTTTTTTTGTCAGAAATATCTCCTTTGGAGACTTTATTAAAAAAAAAACCAAAACAAAAACCAAAAATAAAGCAAAATTTAAAAATCTCCTCTAAGAAAAAAATTAATTTTTAAATCATTTCTATTTATTTGTCCAGAACATGGATTATTTATTTTCTCACTTGCTTTTACATCAGCAGAATCAATGAAAAATGTGCAAGCAGATGCTGCCTTCAGCCACATGTATGCACATAGGTCTATACAATTGCATGCTTAGTAGAGGGCCCTGATAATTTCCAAGTAAACGTATTAACGCTGCAGGGGAGTTTAGGAAAATATGGGTTTCACAGACTTCAAAAAGTCATTAGATATCGTTTTGCTTTGTAACAATCCAAAGCCTTTCCAAGATGGTAAACTTTCTGACATTCCTGACCCCCTACCCCACCAGCAAGTCTCTGTGCTATCCAGAGATGGGAGTCGTAATGCAGCGATTCTATGGGACCAACCATAAAGTGATCAGAGAGCTGAGCCAGATTTTACAAAATGTAAAATTTGTACTTTGGGGTTTTCTTTGGTTTTCTTTGTTTTTCTTAAAGTAAAACCTTATTCTAGGACAGCAATAGGAGTGGCATACTGCAACAAAACCAGCTTGTATTGTGGGCACAAGGTGTTATCAAACCTAAGCTGTGCGGAGTCAATTCCTTTGTGAAATTACAAATGTAGAGCAAATCCTTGATTCTCTCCTTTCCAGGTGAAGACTTGAATGACTTGGCTCTTACTGTATCATTTCTACTTTGATCAAAGCAAGACAGACTGACTGGGTCCCCCAGCAGGTAGAACATTCACCTAGGACACTGAAGAGCCAAGTTCAAGTCAGTAATTGGATTTTGGAAAATTAACCCTTTCCAAAATTAAAGCCTTCATCTCTGAGTCTCCAACCATCTCTAGCTGGCAGTGCTTTCTGGAGCCTTAAGCAGTGTACATTCATTTTCATGTCTTAAAAGCAGAGGACACTCACCTGATACAGGGAGCGTATCTGTTTTGTATAAAAAAATGTTTTATAGAATCAGGTTTCTAACCAGAAATGTACTTGGCTATAGGAAGTAAAGTAACTTTTTGCTCTTCTTGTTGTTTTGTCTTTTAGAAAGAAGTGCAGAGTTTCTTAGTCATATTTGCTCTGATTGCTGTTCCCTGGATGCTCCTAATTAAACCTTTCATCCTCCGAGCCAACCACCAGAAAGCGCAGAGCATGGTAAGGGACATGAATCAGGCAAGGGGGATTCAGCACAGCAAAGGCAAAGCTGAGGAGATAGATCCCAAAAACTGTTTGTGGTGATCTAATTCTGTTTCTCTCTGATCTCAGAGTTTCTCCAGTGATTTCAAACTGTGCTTTACAGCACATGTGCTAAGAACGTGTGTACGGACATTTGTCTGAGCCATCTACACAGGAAGCAGCAGCTTTGCTCACAAGGCCATACCCTAGTTGTTGGGAGAGGAATCACAGAATCACAGAATGTCAGGGGTTGGAAGGGACCTCAAAAGATCATCTAGTTCAGTCCCCCTGCCAGAGCAGGAACACCTACAGTAGATCGCACATGAACGCATCCAGGTTGGTTTTGAATGTCTCCAGAGAAGGAGACTCCACAACCTCCCTGGGCAGCCTGTGTCAGTGCTCTGGCACCCTCACAGTGAAAAAGTTTTTCCTAATATTTTTGTGGAACCTCCTATGTTCCAGCTTGTGCCCATTATTCCTTGTCCTGTCATTGATGACCTCATCCAGGTCATTGATGAATATATTGAAAAGCACTGGCCCCAGCATTGACCCCTGAGGCACTCCACTAGACACAGGCCTCCAACTGGACTCTGCCCCATTGACCACTACTCTCTGACTTCTTCTCTTAAACCAATTAGCGACCCACCTCACTACCTGGT